TAATGGTATTGTGGGTTTTGTTCATTCTAGGAATTAATTTGATAGTTTTATAACATTTAAGTCCCAAATTGAGAAAAAAAAATCTTTTTGGCCCCTCCGATTTGATAGTTTGCCATCTTTCGGATCTTGTATTGAAAACACTCCTTGTTTTAATCAAGGACGTGGTTTTAATTTTCCTTGAAGGTAACGAGTACTACGACAGGACCTCAAATGGGACGTGGAACGATTCCATGGGGATGGGTCCCCAGCCAGGCAGTGGCAGCGCAAACGGGAACACCAATTGGGTGGTGGGCCCTCCGCCCCCACCGCCCCCAATGATGAGTAGCAGTGAGATGAGTTCCGCGGGTTTCTCTGGGCCCCACCAGGCCCCACTTCCTCCGCCTCACCCAGCCATGGCTCTAGGGTTCAACCAGAGCAGCTTCACGTACAATGACCTGGCAGTGGCCACCAACAACTTCGCCCACACAAACCTTCTGGGGCAGGGAGGGTTCGGGTTCGTGCACAAGGGGATGCTCCCCAATGGGAAGGAGATAGCCGTCAAGAGCCTCAAGATGAACAGCGGGCAAGGGGAGCGTGAGTTCCAGGCCGAGGTCGACATCATCAGTCGAGTCCACCACCGCCATCTCGTGTCGCTGGTCGGCTACTGTTCGTCCGGTACCCAGAGGATGCTCGTCTATGAGTATGTGCCCAATGGGACGCTCGAATTTCACCTTCACGGTACCTATCTACAACTTCCATTGCAATTTTTCATTTCCTTTGAAAAAATATTTACTTTTTCTTTTTTTACTTAATGTCATGCCCTGTGTTGTTTTAAGCAGGAGCTGGTCGGCGACCTATGGATTGGCCTACCAGGCTTAATATTGCTTTGGGATCAGCCAAAGGATTTGCTTATCTCCATGAAGACTGTAAACCCTTTTTTATTCTTTTATGCTTCAAATTGTGTTTTTTTTTTTTTCCTATTTTTGGCCTACTTGCAAAAGAACTTTGCACGCTTAACACTTTGAGAAACTTGCAGGTCACCCTCGCATTATCCACAGAGATATTAAAGCTGCAAATATTTTGCTTGATTTCAATTTTGATGCAAAGGTACACTATAGAACTTATGTAATTATATAGGCATGTGGCATATATAGAATTTACCTCTCTCTCTCTCTCATCAAAGCATGCCATTCTAATGTGTGTCCTGGAAAATGTTTCTTTAAACTATAGGTGGCTGATTTTGGATTAGCTAAGCTTTCTTCAGACACCAACACACATGTCTCTACAAGGATAATGGGAACATTTGGGTACGATTAATGTATAGTTTATTTATCCTCATGCAATTTTCAACTTTGTTTGAACATGCTAATTATACAAACATAATGTCTATTATATAGAATGCCTTATATCATTGTTATACATGCAACTTCCATATCTTTGTGTTATTGGCTGTTGTTGTCAACTTTTTCCTGTTTATTTTCTTGTTTTTGTTTTTCTTTTTAGTTTGACTTGAAGTATATCAGACATTGGACTTGTAGTTTTCTGACTTTTCAGCCAAAAAAAAAATACATGCAGCTTCCATTTATAGTCTATAGATCAAGTATCATATGAATTATATTTCCAGTAGTCAAAAGGGAAAAAAAAAAAA